ATGTATATATATCAAATTATATTTATATTTATTTATATATATATGTGTTTTATGTTTATATATATATATGGGTGCATGTTTGTATATACAAGTATATATATATGAGTGTATGTTTGTAGATACAAGTATATAAATATGTATCTAATTTTATTTGAATAAATATATACAAATATGGGTATATAATATGTAGGCATATATATATATGTATATATATATATATATATATATATATGCGTGTGTCTATGTGTGCGTGTGTGTGTCTGTGTGCATATATATATATGTGTGTATGTATGTATAATATATATATATATATATATATACAATACATATATATATATATACTTATACATATATATGTATCTCGGTCTGTGTGTATGTATGTATATATCCATATTTAAATATATACATACATGTATACATGTTTATATATATATATAAATAAATTCAAGTGCACACGTATCTACATTTATAAGGTCGTTGAATACGTTTTCTGTTAGTAGTTGTGTTACTTCTGCACTCGGCCATAAAATCTTTTTTGGCGAATTTTGCACGCTAGTTTCGAATCCTCCAGCCCAATTTCTATTCATGTATATTACTTTTATTCTTGTCGCGCAGGATACGGTAAACTTCACATGGATGTTCTGGTAGAGGGCTTCGAGGCACCAACAGATGCTGAATCAGCTGACACAGTCGAAGCACATGCCGCTCGCGACCGAATCTCTGTTGGTAGTGGCAATGCGGGTGTGGGGGGCAATTCTACCCGTAGTGGATCATCGTTAACTACATCCTCATCTAATCAAGAAAAACATTTTCTGTATCACAGCGAAAACAGGCTGCCCGATCACGACGAGGAGAATGTGACCAGGTATTAAAGTCAGTTATGAACAGTGAGACTAGGCGATCGTGGGAATATTTCAGTTGTGTGTACACGGCAAAATTGTTGGTGGATGTGTGGGTAGTACATACTTATGATCAGCCATTGACGCCTGTCGAGTTTATGCGTACGCGCATGCTCCGGATATGCTATTGTATATGACATAAATAGAGGCAGAAAGGCTTTTATCACGAATCGTTTGTGTATGTAGGAATATGGAATATGTATACAAGTATTGTATAATATATATATTATATATTTATAAATATATATATTAATGCACACACACATATATATATATATGTATGTACGTATATGTATATATATATATATATATATATGCACATATAAATATATATGTATGTACGTATATATATATATATATATATATATATATATGCATGTATGTATGTATATGTATAAATAAGATCTATATATATACTTGTATGTATGTATATGTATATATACATATATAAAGCGTATGTATGTATGTATTTGAACATATCTACATATACATGTGTATGTAAATACATTGTATATATATATATATAGTATGCGTATAAATACCCATATCCAAAGTTATCGCAACGCACCGTGTGCAGTAGTCACACACCGCCAGTACGAGGTCGCGCATTGTAATCACGAAATATCAAATCTATTGTACGTGGTCGCATAGCATTTGTGTATCAGACAGTACCACATGTGAGTAGTCACCTATCACAGAGATGTGTGTTCGGTGCACAAACAGACTGTCAACCGCCGATATATAGGTCTTAGAAACGCATTAGGTTCAATTTGGAGTAGTTCACGACCGGCGGTGCTTGTTGCCATGGATATCATTTAGATCGAGTCCTTCTACACATACATCTGTGACATTCGGAAAAGCTCAGCCGGACTCTCAGCTGCCGTTTGTCGAGAACCAATGGAATGTTTAGATACAATCGAGAACTGGAGAATTGTTTGCAAGCGGGTATATGGCATCATATTGCCGAATTGACCCTCGTAGTCGAGTTTAACAATCCAAACTACGGTGGGCTAGTAGGACGATGGTATGTCGGTGAACTAGCGATACACTCGGAAAGCCGGCACTGTAAAACCATGACACCACATTTACGTTATCGGGTATGGCGATGCAGTGCTGCTAATGGCTGCCATGTGTAGCGGAAATGAACTGTTGTAGTTCGCAGATTGGGTGAAAGGCAGACGCGATAGACCGAACTAAGCTGGGACTAATGGCTGCCATGTGTAGCGGAAATGAACTGTTGTAGTTCGCAGATTGGGTGAAAGGCAGACGCGATAGACCGAACTAAGCTGGGACAAATAAATTGGTATCTTTGCACAATGGTTCATCTCCAGGTATTTATCTGGGATGCTGTTTGAATCTGAACTGTAATGTTATCAACAAGTGTAGATTTGTATAGTTTTCGCCTGTCAACACGAGCCAGTAGTTTTACTAGTATTTGGCACGATGGATGGACGTATAATCTTTCCTATATTGTACATGAAACGTAACGAATAATCAACCGGGCACAAATGGTAATAATGAAATGACTACAGACGTTAAACTTGTGTATTACTTCAACAACATGATTGACACATACATTACACGCTCTCGATAGGCGTAAGAAATGAGCCCGTTCGTTCCTGCGATACACTTTAGCCACGTGATCCAAAAATGATATTTCTGTAGAAACATTCTACAGAAACCGATTTCACGAGTTTAACACATGTATTACTTCAGCTCTCGATGGCGTATTATATAAGCCCATTCGCCCCTGTGATGCACTATAATCACGTGATTCTTGATGGTTACATCTGCGGATCCATCCTACGAACGATGGCAGCAGGTGTTGAATAGGTTTGCTACTTCAGCAACATGATTGGCACTTACATTACACGTACTTGAAAGGCGTCATAAATGAGCCCATCGGCCCTGCGATACACTAAAACCACGTGATTCTTGATAGTTACTTCTGTAGTTTCATTCTACGAACAATGGGTCACTTACATTACCCGCACTCGATAAGCGTGATTGGCCCGTCCGCCCCTACGGTACGCAATAGCCGCGTGATTCCTGGTGAGTTTTTCTGTAGATCGATTCTACGAATATTAAACCATTTACGATCCGAACTGGTCACTATTCCGGAATCGATTGTTTCATAAATTCGTAATCAAACGATCGTGATTGTAGACTGTAGCAATAATGTTCAGTGTACTGTATGCTGCATACACACTCAGCCTCCTCCACAATGGCATTGTCATTATTACCCACTACTGTAGTACCAATTCTTCTTGTATGGTCCACACTAGTCCTGGTTAGTTGTCGCTACCTTTACCACGAGGCATGGGAAGAGTGCTCAGACAAGTGAGGGACAACAGGGGAGAGGAAATACCATAGGCTCAACCGGATTGTCCAAAGATAAACGAGGTATCTACGATAATTGAAATAGCGAACGCTAAAACCGTCGATAATGAATATCATCATGTGACTGACTTAGAGATGAGTGCGACAGAGCTTTTGGTGCATATGGCGTGTTCATGGTCATGCGAGCACGTCTTACGTTTCATATACACAGTGATCATAAACCGTTGAAGAACCTTCTACAGGGTAGGCTGCTACTTCGGACACTTCGAAAGCGAAACAGCAAAATGTGCGGCGTGCGTTGGAGACGGCTAGTTGCATTGATGCGGTGGTCGAGCATATTTTGGAGCATTTCGAAGTATTGGGAGACTGCCCGTTACGGCTTGGCCCGGATGTGATGGATACAGTGTTTCATTCCGTTGCACGTAGAGTGACGTTTGGATGGCCACTGGAACAGTGCAAACCTGTTGACGCACTACCCATGCTATCTGTGCCATATGATACGAACGAAGATATCAGTTGCTGGGCTGAAGCAGGTTAGACGGGAGCGGCAATGAGTATGCATCCGAAGTGAGCAGCCATAGCAAGGTAACGGTGGCGCTTTTTTTAAGAGCGCGAACGCAGTAGTAGCGGTCCCAGTATGGCTGGCGCGACGTGGTTTCTCACGTTTTATACCATGCTGGAGGATGTGCCCATTGTAGTTTCTCCTGAGGAGGATACGGAGGGGTTTTTTGGGATAACAAACGGTTGGGGTACACCTTAATCAAACTGTTGCAGAGCAATCGGACGGAAACGTTGTAATATTCTCCCCGTGTATTTTGGAAGTGCTTGGGCTTCCAATTCAAGCGGTATGGGGAACACCGACGGTAAAAACTTATATTATCAGTATGAGAAACCTTCTGCAGAACACTTTAACACTTCGATGATATGCTATTTCGACTTATATGCCACTAAATCTCACGCTGATCACATGATGCTTCTTAGCATAGGTTGTGACTGTTGCATAGGGATAATATAATTTATTTCAAAAATGGCAAGTATGTATGATACAATGTATGAACATATGGTATGACTCTCATAGTCGCTGTAGTGGTTCAGGAAAGATTGATGGGAAGAAGTGGTCAGTAAATTCCCGTTTGAAGCTTGGGCCAAGTGAGTCGACAATGGAAGATATGTGCTGAGTCAATTCGGGCCGATGTTGACAAAACACTGTTACTATCGCATGTTCCATATATTTGCTTGCTGACCTACTAAGTAGAGTACCCACCTCTGTGTTACGGATCGGGTCTGCGCCGTGTAGTGCCGCGGAATGGGTTAGTGAAGAGTACGAAATACCGAGAACGACCAGGTTATCCGTCATAATCCGGTCGAGAAGCGAGGATGGGGGTAAGCCAATGCCGCACCAGACCACGGATGAATTCGATATGTATTGTCTGGCCTGGATCGGAAGTATCATAGTCGGAACCAACAAGCGCGGTGATTTGGTTTGAACCGATATTTGGAAGTAGTATTTCAACAGCGTGATTAGCCGGGGTATGGGAAACATCTGTTGATGTGTCAGGGACGAGCGAGGATACGGTGGTTCTTCAACATGCTGGAGAAAAGATCCAAGGTGTTCGTGGAGGGTCCAGATACTGTGGAAGTCGTAGTACTCCTGTAATTGCTGAAGGAGGTCAGGGCCAATGGGCGGCAGTTTCGGGCCCACCAGGATGCGTCGAATCAGTTGTTGGATGCAGGTAAAGTGGCTGGTAGTGAACTTGTGGCTACCGGGGCAGACAGGGCAGAGACAGCCGTATGTGCGGTAGTCGAGCAATGTGAACATGTACGTATTCGTTACAATCATAGCACAGAGCCGGATTAGTGTAGACTTGAAGCAGCGATTGAAGCTATCGTGTCTGGCTGTGTCTTGGTTTGAGGTTGGCGGTTTACCCATAACCAGTTGGTAGTAATATTGGCGCCGGGCCATTGCCGCGATCTCCTTGTTGGACCAACGTTTTGTTGAGTTCATCCTGATGTCGTCACAGCGTTGGCGGAGGGCTACATGGTCGGGTGTACGCCCGCCCGTGGTTTTGTGTACAGTTTTCAGGTGAGCATAGATACTGTACGGGAAGCGCAGTGATGGTTTATCGTGGGCCCAGGCGGGATGCGTCAGAGGGGTAAGTGGATTTGTGCTTGCCTTTGAGTCGAGTTGTATTCCCAGGCAACCTCCGAGGTAGTCCGCGAATGGTCGCGCGGGTAGCAGGCCGCAAAAGTGAAGTAAGCTTGTTTGATGTTTGGGAAACCGAGGGTATTTAGTGCCCGTGATGATGGCTGCTGCTTGGATGAGTGCTGAGTTAAAGCGCTCGAATAGGGGGCCCAACGCATCCTTCAATATAGGCGGAGCCCAGGCAATAATGTTCAGCCCATATGTAGCCGTGGATAGGATGAATGTTTTGAACATCACCAGTCGGTTGTGGGGGTGTCGCCAGCTGAAGCCATGGAAGCCATAAGCGCGGAAAGAGGCGATACCCAGTGACAATGCTGCAACCAGTGATTCCATATGTCTAGCGAGGTTGATTCCTGGTACTCCGTGAGAGAGTGGGAACCCCAGGTATTTGGAGTGTTTCGGTTCGGCATGTGTGGGCGCCAGTTTCAGGGGGAGGTAACGTGTGTTCCAAGGTGCATCTGCAAGCGTCGGCGTGATAAGTTCACCATATATACGGAGGGTTGGCGCCGCGTGTCGCAAGTTGGTAGATCGTACTCGGGGTTTAATGACACCCTGTTCGAGGCCAGATTTGCGTCCCCACGCATCAATGTAATCTAAGAAGGGCTGGAGCGAAACCGATCGAGGGGCTTGGATCCGTGTGTTATCGAGAAATAAATAAGAGCGGAGGAGCTTGGGCCGAAATTGTGCTAGCGTGACAGCTAAGGAATCTATGTAGATAATAAAGAGCTGGGGGTCGACGATTGAGCCTTGTAGGATGCCATTCGTTCTATGGAATAGAGACGAGAGCGTGCCGCGGTATATCACTCGGGTAGGGACCCTCCCAAACAGCGCGCGGAGGCAGTTGATCCAGTTTTCGGGCATTCCAGCGTGACGCAGAAGTACCTATAGGCGTGGGAGAGCGACCTTGTCGTATGCCTTGGTTATGTCCAGACAGACGTCGTTCCACTCCTCTTCTGACTGTGTCTCAGATTCCATGGCGGCAAGTGCTTGTGTATGACAGGAGTACCGTGATTTGAAGCCAGCTTGGGTAGCATGGGTAGCAGAGCCGGGGTGGCTCGTAATCAGATTAAGAAAGCACTTTTCAAAGATGCGTCTGACTATTTGCGTAAGCGTGATGGGGCGGAAGTCGGCGGGGGAGGTGATATCTGCATCGGCTTTCTTTGGGTGCACTATCAGGAGGCTGCAGTTCAGGGCTGCGGGGATGGTACCCGCCTTCAGTAGCTCAGTGAATGCTTCGGCAAGGAGTCTAATCAGTGGGCTATTGGCGTCGGGGCGTCTTAGTTCATGGAGCTAACACTCTCATCATCATCCATCAGAAGGGGGTTTTCTAAGTCAGTGGTTTCAACTACATTTTTTTACAAACTCTGACTGCAACACAGGGTACATCGAAGCTTTATATCAATGTACCTATGTCGGCTATAGTAATACGAATTAGAATGTATATTATTATGTTCCTCTTTATCGCTAATAAGCTTCTTGTTGGGCACCTCGCGCCCATAAAAATACTGGAACATACAGAGCTGGATACAAACGCGTTCATTCAAATGATATTTTTATGACATTCATTCAAATGATGATTTTATGACACTTATCGCGTTAATCCCACCGATAGGCTCACAATGGGGGTTTAAAGCCACGTTTATTCACAGCTATACCGCAGGTTGGGGTGCGTTGATGTCGAATACACCGTGAAACATATCTGCAACAACATTTCTCAGTCTCGCAAGAGAAATCAGTCCCTTATCTCAACTCACAGTACTAATTACTTTATTATACAGACTATGTCTACAATAGTAGACTTCTTTCTAGACGCTTGCCCTAGCCCTATACCAAGCCGCACGCAGCTACTTGCACAGTATATGTCATTACTGTTTCTATATATTTTCTACCGGAACGTGCACTGGTGGCCACATCCCGTAGGGCATAACACCTGTTTGGTAAACCAATCGTTCATGTGCTGCAAGTGTCCTCCATGGCCACACCCCTGGCACCACAAGTACGGGCCTCCCACCACTTGGCGACTGTATGGGGATGAGTATGTAGGTATACTTTAGTGTGTGAATAGCCAAATGTACGTGTGAATTCAGTGGCGTACGCGTATAAGGGTTCAGAATGTTTGTGAAATCAATCATTCATGTACTGCAAATGTCCCTCATGCTCCCACTCCTCACTCCACAGATACGGGTGGGAACTATATGAGAGGCACTATGCTGGAATGTGCAGTATATGTACAAGTAAAATACACGGATAGAAACATGCACATTGGAGGCAAAGAGTCTATATCCACCGGGTAATATGGTGCCAACCAAGCCAAAGGCAGCTGACAGTATATCTTGGGCGAACACATCCTGCTCATACTACAGAATCAACCACATCTCCGCCTGCTAGCGAATGTGCTATTAGTAAACTCAAAGCATGCAAGTTTTTAAACGGAAAACCCTTAGATACGACAACACTCACCCCCAAACATAACGGCCAATGATGCTTAATGAACGTAATGTATAGGTATTCAATATGTATATGGAAAATAGAAAAAATAAATGATTATGGGTACTCCGCTTATAGGAGCCTAATGAAAAAGCTTCGATGATCAAAAGCAATCACTAGCAATGGTACTCAATCTTTCAGATCTAACGCTAGCAGATACAGTAGCTCGCCTTTCGTCCGGCAGAAGTAGGTACCACTCAAGCAGCTACATACACAAATTTATATGTACATTGCATTATGTATACATACAATGTGTGAATATTATTAAGTATATACATGTGTCGCTCTACATGATCTAGATTGCGCACACGTGATATACGCATCGCAATGGCCATACCAAAGGCTGCACAAGCTGTTGAGTCTCGAGTGACAGTGCTTGCAACCGGGTCCGTTGCCTAACAGCGGCTTCAGGCATGTACTGCACGACAGGTAGATCGTTGTTGAGTCCTGCCAAGGTGTCATGCCAGAAGGTGTCATGTTAGATGGTGTCAATGGCAATTATCTAGACTCATATAAACAAACGTAAAGATACACAGATAAACACTCATGCTATGTAATTATGACCGAATATACACGCAAACACAGACACACAGACACACAGACACAGACACAGACATATACATATATATAATATCCATAAGGGCACACTTCAATGCATTGACACTCATGCATCACAGAATGCGCAATCATACCATATACAGACACTCCAACACACGACTTAGAAAGTACTCAAACTACTATCTACTCATGCTTACGCCAACAACACTCTCGATGGTTACTCTCGTACCTACCAATCATACTGACATCGCCCTACATACTTGATTGATCTCATTGATGGCTGGCACTATGCTCTGCTTGATCAGCACATTCGCCAGCGCAAACTCACTGCGTCTGTGCAGAATATCTATGTAGGCCGAGAACCACTCCTCAAACATCTGCTGCGTAAACGAGCGTGGCAAGGACTCCACATGGCACCCCAACACTTGCACCAGCGTACAGCAGAACTGCACATCGCCCTGCGGGTGTGTGTATGTGGACAAGGATGGTGGGCATGACTTGATCAGGTATGCCTGTAGGTCTTTGGTGTGTTTTGATGAGTGTGTGTATGCTATACAGGTGTGTGTATGTGGACAAGCATTGTGGGCATGACTTGATCAGATATGCCTGTAGGTCTTTGTTGTGTGTTGATGTGTGTGTGTATGCTATGCAGGTGTGCGTATGTGGACAAGGATGGTGCGCATGGCTTAAATACTAAAGGATGTATCGTAGGTGTGTTTATAGGTTTGTCGTGTGTTGATGGATGTGTGTACGCCCTAGAGGCGTACGCGTGGAGAAGGATTGCAGGTATTGCTAAGGGATACAAAGCATGTTGGTATGTCTTTGGTGTGTGTGTTGGTGTATGTGTAGACGCAAATGGTCGCCTTGAAAATGACTATATTCCTGTGGATGCGGATATAAGTGAGAATAGTTGTCCACACATGCGTGTATTTATATCTATTTGTTTATAAATAACAAACTTTAGAGCTGTATGTATTGTACTTTCGCAGCCACACTTTGAAATATATTTTTCAACGTATTGAATTGCACGTGTGCAATAGGCAGGATTAGAAATATAGAAAGTATCGTGATACACGTACATACATATCAACAAATAGAGATAAGCCTGTCATAGTGAGGGCAAGCGTTGTGTCTACGCCGAGAACAAGAGAACGTTTCTACATTGAGCTCCTGACGAACACATGGTAGTCTGTTTCTACGACCCAAAAGTCATGCACTTTAGAAACAACCAATACAATTGCGTGCATGCGCTTGGACTTGCCTGGTCTGCACTAAAGCTCAGCACATCCGCTACAATAGCCGGCGTCGCCCAGGGGGAGGTCTGTGTTTTTCTGGACTGAGATGTCCTATAAATAGAACACGTGACGAGATCAAATCAGTGTGGAGTGGGTCGGCAAATCGGTACAGTTTAACGGGAAAATGGTCTCAAACATACACAATGCAGCGTGGCTGCGCCTATGAGATGAACTATACCTATCCATCCTTGACAAGCCGTACTCAGGTAGGAGGGTAGGGTCAGGGTGGGTATAGTCACACCAACGAATTGGGAGCGTTGCTAAGAAACGTGCCTCAGAAGCCTTAACATCTGGACAGTGGTGCGTGTTTTCAACCCTGTACGTTCTATATATGTACACTGCTACAGATACTGCTGTCGAGTTGCCTTTGTGTACGTGCGAACCCCGATTGGGAGATTGAGAAACTTTGGTAGGAAATAAACAGACCTGAATTAGATATGGACCCAAACACATTAAACCCAAAAACCCTGGAATCAGCGAGGTATGCGGGAAGGGAGAAGTGAAGCCTATGCGTGCGATGTCTAATGATATTTGCCAAAGACTAATAGATGTGTGACTGGAAGGAGTACTAAGGACGAAGCGACTGAGAAACAATCCAACCCCCCCCCAAAAAAGAACACCTCAAATAGGGTGAGCAATACGAGATGGTAGAAAAAGACCGGGCAGAATGACCCAATTTCTTGATATACCCTTACCTAAATAATATGAAATGTAGAATATGATATATAAATACGTATACACCAGCCGATAACGCTATCAGGGCTATGGAAGACAGAGCTTAGCGCCAAAGTCTGCATACGAGAATGCTGTACACGATTAAACGCGATCTACATAGACGTACATCAGCAATTCAGCATGAACAGCAAGTGTCTCACAAGACAGCAGTGTCACTGAATACGTTAGCACAGATGATTCATACACAACCACTCCATTTGGGAGCATTTGACAGCACATGACGGCTCCTACACACACACACACACACACACAAAACATACACGCACAGACACAGACACAGACACAGACACACACAATTGATCTGTAGTAATACACACAGACACACAATTGATCTGAAGTAGTAGACACACCACACACACACACACACAATTGATCAGTAGTAATACACACACACAGTGGAGAGATCATTGGCACAGTACTGATACTGCAATTACACTCGAGCATCGTCGAAGTGTATGTACATGCAAAGTCTTCCGTGTTTCCGTATACGTACATGTATAACGTATGTACATACACGTACAAAAGCACACATATAGAAATATGTACATATACATACATAAGCAGACATATACACATACGCACATATACATACATAAGCACACATATACACATACGTACATATACATACATAAGCAGACTTATACACATACGAACATATACATACATAAGCACACATATACACATACGTACATAAGAACACATATACACATACGTACATTACATACATAAGAACACATATATACTTACGTACATATACATAAATGACCATATATATATATATATATACATATATACATATATATATATATATATACATATATACATATATATATATATATATATATATATATTCACACACACACCATGTGGGATCTCTGCCGTGTGCGTCCAGGGTGGCAGCAGGTCCAGGGTTTGCGGACCGAGCTGTGTCGGCAGTGGTCTTAACCCAAGACTCATAACCAATCAGAAACTGCGGGATGCAAGAAAATGCCACAGAACAGCCAATGAATGCCACAGATGAGACGACCATAGACAAGGAAGACACCGAACATTGCGTGGCAGTGTTTGCAAACAGGTTATTAGGAATGTGTACTTCAAAGCTTCGTTTAACTATACAAATGGGCTCATGAGTGGGATAGAAGAAAGCAAATGGAGTCCTGAAAAGGATAGGCGCGATACAGACAATGTCATATATGACAGATACATCATTAGAAGTTAGTTGGATCATATATAACGCCATTTGAACGATCTTGTGTTTCGTTTCGGACACACATGCTCGTTGCGCATATAGGTACCGACAAATATTTCATAAACACACACATACACACGCACACACACACACACACACATATATATATACACATACATACATATATATACATATATATACATATATATATATATATATATATATATAAATATAAATATATATATATATATATATATATTATAAATATATAATATATATATGCATGCTTACAAACACCAACACCAACACCAACACAGACACCCACACAACCACATACAGACACACAGATATATATATACACATATACATAAATACATACATACATACATACCTACATACCTACATACATACACACACACACACACATATATATATATATATACATACATATATACACGGATGCATATATTAGTACACACAAACACACACACACACACACACACATATATATATACATACATATGTATATATATGTTATATATAACTGAGACACTGAGACTCACACTGGTGAGGCGTGAGATTAGATCGAATACGTCCTATGCCAAGACGGCGTGTGTATCTATAGTACACGTCTCCGCAGACACACACACACACATGCGCATACGAATCCACTACTGAGATATCACTACATCCCATACAAACAGATATCCCTATATCCCCTACAAATATCCGACGCATGCACCAGCCCTACCGATTCTTGTGAGCTCAGACTGACACTGGCGAGGGGTGAGGTGAGATCGAATATGTCCTGTGCTAAGTTGAGGTCGTTTCCTTCGTCCGTATCGTTGTCGCTGTTGCTGCTGCTGTCAGTACTGTGCCCGTCTGAGCTCGATGTCGAGTGCAGGTCAACCTCACGTGGTACCGGTTTGTACCGCTTTATATGGAGGAGGGTAATAGAATACACAGAAGCAATGAGATCGATGGGTAAAGCTGTATATGAGAAACTATATATGAGAGCAGTAGGAATATGCAGAAGGAATAGACGGGGATTTGGCTACATATGGGTCTACTGCTCAGTCGTACTCTTCATTTGACAGCCTGCTGTGCTTGTGTTGACCGGATTTATTCAGAACAATACCGATCTGTACAGCTTTGCGTGTGCGCTGGGAGTCTGGATGAAGGTAGACCTCCACGATAACTGCATGGGTGAATTTGCCATGGCGCATTTGTTCTCAGAACAGAAAACAACATGGACTATATATATATATATGTATGTATATATATATATATATATATATATATATATATATATATATATATATATATATATATATGCATACGCATATGCATATACATGTGCAAACACATACGGACACAGACACAAACACAGACACAGACACAGACACAGACACAGACACAGACACATACACATACACACACGCAATTCTCAGCATATACACACACTCGCACGAACACACACACCTCACTATATACGCTGCCGTAGCTGAAGATGCCGCTGCGATCTCTGCTGAACTGTTGGTGCGCCTGTCGCACCTGCTGTTCCGCACTTCTCGGACTGATATTCCTCCCCTGCGGGCTCCCCCCGCCAATCATTTCCCCCAGTTGCTCGTTGCCATGGTTACCCCTGGGAATGGGGCTGGATGTGAGGTGGGTTACCATACCCCCCACACCCGTCCGCGTGCTGTTGTTAAGTTTGCTCCCCAAACTCAGGATACGCTTTGCCGATGGGCCTGGCAGAGAGAGAGTGTGTGCGCGTTGTTGTTGTTGTGAGGCTGCGCGTGTCTGGTCTCCTCCAGACAGCTGCGTGGACAAGTGAGGCGCTTCTGATTGGCGCTGAGAAGAGATACCGAACATCTCGGCTGTGTCGGACGGAAGTTTCTGTGCTGTTGCCATTGGGGAATGATAGTATATAGGTAAATCACACTATGGTATAAGCCAATGGTGGATGTGTTACAAGTATGTAGGTAAATCACACTACATTATAAGCCAATGGTAGATGTGATACAAGTATGTAGGCAAAACACACTATGTTATAAGTCAATGGTGGATGTATTGCAAGTATGGAGGTAAGCTCATGAGTATTACCGCGTCCACACAAACACATACGCGTGGGCGTTGCGAATAAAACATGTGCTCACATACACACATACACACACACACACATGTATGAATGAGACTACACACACGCATGTATGCATGAGATTACACACACACACACATGTATGCATGATACTGCACACACACATGTATGCATGATACTACACACACATATGTATGTATGAGACTACATACACACATGTATGCACGAGACTACACACACACGCTGTGCCGACAAAGAGCTTGGCAATACATAGACACTAGTCCATCCGCAGATGAGTCTACAATGACACAGGATATGAGCCACAACCAAGTGCACTATACAGCACTCGAATAACTACACGAATGAAATAAAGTCCACACTCTTACCTACACGCAGTGGTGCACACGCTCTGAACTACTTGTACCAACAAGCGAGTACAAATACAGCTCATACCTATGGACACATACAGACGTATAGTCTACCGGATACACATGTGCACACACGTACAGTCCAATAAAAATGCACATGTACGCCCATGTAGTCCAATAGATTTACATATGTACATACTTATAGTCCAATAAAAATGCACATGTAGACACATATAATCCAATATATATAAATGTGTGTACGTACATATAGTCTAATAAATATACACATGTACACACATATAGTCCAATATATATACACATGTACACCATATAACTCAATGAATATTCACATATGTACACATATACTTCTATGAACTGGCCCCTGCCCCCCCCCCCCACCACACTGAGTAAGAATCTTACACAGGTGCGACGATCTTGACGGCGATTGGCTCAGCGCTTCCAGAGTACTCCCGACGAGTAATCCCTCCGTTTGATTGGACGATCCTAGATCAGACTGTAAAGCAGGGGACTTCGAAGAATGCCCAGAGTTCTGTCTGTATTCGTATGGGGTTGAGAAATGGTTATATGAGCGATCGTATGTGTGTGTGCATGTTTGTATAATTGTAAGTGTATGTGAAAGTGAACGTGAAAGTAAAAGTGTAAGTGTAAGTGTATGTATAATGTATATGTATATGTGTATGTGTTTGCGCGGATATGCTGGTTCACATGGGAGTGTCGTTGAGCTATCGTTTGCACAATCACGTGCATGAGTGTAATGGTCCGCATTCACCTACAAGGCTGTGCATTTGTGGTGCAAGCATCCACATGCTTACGATAGTGGCCGATCTCTTGAAGCAGAGTATCCTATTTTATATCTGTCACACTTACGATGAGGGGTCAATGTATGTATATACACACACGGAAACACACACACACACACACACACACACCATACACGCACATTCGCAGCGGGACTCACAAGCATACTCACACAACTATACACGCACACACACACACACACACACACACACCATACACGCACACACTCACGCACACACCATACATGCACACACACACCATACACGCACATTCGCAGCGGGACTCACAAGCATACTCACACACAAAGTTCTTACCCGTAGCCCTACACCGATCCCCCACACAGGTGCGTTCTCATACGCTAACGCACGCACGATAATGCGGTCACACACACCCGCTTACACACACCACAAGTATGTACAAGGACTACGGTACGTTGGGTTAGCACCCGGTGCCTGTTAAGGACAGCTGTGGTAGTATATGGTCGTAGGAAACACTCAAAGGTATACAGACTTATAATTGCCCGTGTAGACACAGAGATACAGACACAAGCATGCGCTTCTTCTCACACACACAAAAAACACATGCGGACATGCGTACAAATATATATATATATAGATATAGATATAGATATAGATATATATACATATATATATATATACAAACACACAAGCACACCCAGCCGACATCTTCTCACACAACCACACACCTCAACAAGTCACGATCGCGGTCGTCTCCCGGCCCGTCGTCAAAGTACAGTAGCTTATCACGCACCCGGGGCCGTTCCCTTTCACGCATCTCTCGCTCTCTCTCCAGACCCCCCTCATTGCCCCCCCCCGGCCCCCCAGCCCCATGCACACCTCCATTACCCGTGCGTAGGGGTGACCCTAGCACACTCAGCATCATGGCTAGGATCTGCCACGTGTTGGCTGTGGCGATCTCTCCACACGCCAACGCCACGTGCGCGTTGTGGTGGCACAGATCAGTCACCGACGTCAGCGCCGCGAGTGATTCGGGTGCTTGGCCGGGGTGTGAAGGGGCAGTGTCGGCAGCCGTGTCTGTGGTTTTAGTAGATATGCCTGTGGGTTTGCCTGGCCTATTACCCAGTGTGTGTGGGTGTGGGCCTGAGTTGCTCCCTGTGTGTGGGCTTTCGCTTACCCCGGGTAGGGGTGCGGTGCTCTCAGGGGGTTCGGGGGGTGTCTCGTTTGGCAGCGACAGCAGATAGTACCTGGCCATATAAGTGAACGGGTCCATTCCAGCCCTAAATGGCTCTCGGTCCCTCCCCGGGCCCTGTTTCTTCCCGGATGGAGGTGCATGCGTGTGTGCAGATACAGATACAGGCACAGGCGCAAAGGTACCCCCGTCTCTATCCCCGTCGTCATCCAGCGTGCTGCCCCCCTCTGGCTCGTTGAGCATGTGTGTCTTAATCAGAGGGTTGACCTCATACGGTGTGGGTGTAGGTATTGTGATGAGTTTGTTCTCCGTTTCGGCCCGCAGAATGCCCCTGGAGCTCCCCATGTTCGCCATTGTGTTCATAGATCGGTTAAAATAGCCCTTGGATGCCGCCGAAAGCGCGTCGGTTGCCATGGCAACGGGCTCTGGGGATATGTCTGGTTCTATGGACACCTTGCCGTACACCACGCACACGTTATCGTCCGTCCGCCAAGCCAGAGACGTCGACGGCACGTGATTGGCCGGTCTCTCGGCCTATATAATATATGAATATGTAAATAATTCTATATATTATATGAATATATGAATCTGTAATTATGTAAATGTATATACGTATGTATTGAATAAATCAGAATCAATGGATAGTTAATAGGTAAAGCTAAAAGAAGGAGTACATGCATACCCCCTTTATTTCATTGTAAACATATACATGTGAAAGACTGGCAGCGGGCAGTAGGGACAGTTGCATATGCATCGTAGTTGCAGCATAGAAGACATACGGGTGCAAGGCCAGTGTGGGGTAGTAGAGAGAGCATGTCCATGCGTAGTACCACACAACAGGAAACACGTGCATGTGCGACTAGTTATCAAGACGTGTGGTGTAAGCTCGTCGCATGAGACAGAGGGAACGGCTCTCTATGAACCAGTGCGGAAGGGGCAGCCATAGTACTGGTTAAAGTGGACGTGAGATAAAGAACGCCCAGAAGAAGAAAGGAAGAAGATAGAGCTATGTAACATGGAGACAGACGGTATGCATGGCACTACCCTTATAGTAGATGACACACGGGTGAAACACCAAGATATGGCGTTTGTATGGAGAACACATGCGTAGTACCAGACAGGGAATATCCAAACTACTGGCTAATGATCAAATAATACGGAAGGCACACATATACACAACCTTCCCCTTCCCCGATGCTCAATTAAGACACACACACGGGTGAAAAGCCTAAACCACGTACAGGCAAACCAGCACCCATAAGGTATGGTCTGGAAGCATCTGTACACTCCGACGAGCATAAACGACGAACTGGTTAGAGACTTGCTCAAATAAATAGTACGCAGATCAGTTCCTGCGCATACGCATTCGTGATACCTACTCTACAGCTAGGCCGGTTGAAACGAAAACGTATAAACGTACCCGCGTGTGCTCGTGTGTAGCAACCGAAATCAGAATACGCGTAGACTTAGTCTCTATCGAATATGCATGCAAGTAGGAGCCATGTACACATATATACACACAAGAGTAGTACGAGTTACGTACACAGAGATAGGTGCATACACCTGACCCGCGTACAAGCACAGTCGTGTGGGCGTGCGTGGTGTGATGTAACGCCAACTACACCACTTGAAGCTGACCTTGGTATAGTGATGCACTAACATCTGCTTGTCCTTGGACACCGACACCAGCGAGTTGCCTTCTCCGTTGACGTGCCATTCCATACCTACCAGCTTGACAATAGTCCACAAGTTTAACGTCTATGAGATACGCTAATACGACAAAAGGGGTGGGATGAGGGTGGAGGGGACATGCAGACATCTGAAACACACCCAAACCGACCGGACACATATCCAAATTGAGATTCGTTTACTGCGCACACTAGCCGCTACACGTTAAATCCTCATAAAACCGAGTTCGTTTGAACCAATGGAGGGCACGCTCACGCATATGTCCTGGACACTGTCCTTACACACAGGTGTGAAGCATCTGCCTACGATTGCACTTCGGGTTCTTTACACAAGGCTATACCAGCGAGTGTGACCCTGAAAACCCAAATGTGAACCAGAAATGACAGCAACCATGTATATATCAATCGCAAACTATTCTGCAACTTACCTACATATACAGATACACATATGTTAGACAAGTACGCAAACTATCTACAACGTATCTGATACTCATGTGTCAAAGGACGTACAGTACCGGCCGGCAACATGCCCCCCCCTCATTCTCACCATCCAAATCCATAAAACACACAATGAGATCACTAGACAGACGCATTCTAATTAATATTCATGAGGATATGGATTGTTAAGTGTCCACGCCATCTGACACCATCCACACACGTACCTATCACCTGACACCATCCACACACATACCTGTCACCTGACACAATCCACAGACATATAACACACATTGAGATCACTAGACAGATGCATTCTAGTTAACATCCGTGAGGATAGGGTTTTTTAACGTACCTATCACCTGACACCATCCACACACATACCTATCACCTGACACAATTCACAAACATATAACACACAATGAGATCACTAGACAGATGTATTCTAATTAATATACAAGAGGATAGGAATTGTTAGTGTCCACGCCATGTGACACCATCCACACACGTACCTATCACCTGACACCGTTCACACACGTACCTGTGACAAGATCACTGTTCCGTGTGAAGGACGCAGTGGGGATGAACGGACGCCTCAAGTCCCACACATGGATGCTGTGGGAATGATACGAGAAGAGATGTGAACACATGGATGCTGTGGGAATGGTACAGAGAAGAGATGTGAACACATGGATGCTGTGGGAATGATACAGAGAAGAGATGTGAGACTTAGTTGAGATCAGGCTAACACAGGTAGTAAATGGGATAAGTTGATGCGTTTCATTGTGATCATAGCAGTTGGCTAGTAAGTGAGTGCCCCACTAAGGTATTCCCACAAGACAAGTGCATATAATAAACACAAATGATATTCTAGACAATTGCACCGTTCTATTTAAAGAATACTCACCTATTATACCAACCTACTAAACCTACCTATTATCGGTGACAAGAGCACAACTGGCTATCTGGTATCTGTGTTTGGGTCGCCAGTGCACACGGCACACCGACGCAATGGTCTGCACGGATGCCAAGCACTCCCCTCCCGAGTTGGCCGCACGGTGAGATCCTCCCGTCCGCCAAATCTGTTATATATACACACACATTTTATATATATATATATGAATACATACGTAGAGAAATATATATATATATATATATATATATATATATATATATATTGTGATTGTCATGTGAAGAGCAATACTATAATCCACGAAAGTATTTGGTGTTGTGTGAGACTTACGGATATATGGTACAAGAGGAAAATCGGATTCTGATGTATTCGCGGTTGCCCGTTTTTCTACATAAAGCTTATGTAGCACTTCATGCGTAGTCAAAGGTCTCAGTGTGTTTCTTTAGAACAAGCACTAACTGCTGTATAGCACGCACCAGAATATACTGACTTACAATTCAAACACTCTACCTACATGTCAAAACAAGCGCATATCCTTATACTCGTATACAAACCTTGATAACCCTGTCTCTGCCTCCACTCGCCAGCACACTCCGATCTTCGGGATGCCAATTGATGCAGAACGTTGGTCCCTGGTGCGCCGCAATGCGAGATTCCCACGTGGTGGGCATACGAATGTCCCACACTTGCACTGACCCGTTCTCAAAGGCAGCTGTGGGGGCGAAAGAGGTGAGCAAACGTTTGTGCGAGTGCATACTTTGTATACTTGCGGGTACAGGTACAGGTATATTTATATATATATGTCCACAGAAACAACACACCCACACACCCACACCCACACACCCACCCACACACACATATATATATAGATTAAACTATAGATATGGATATAAAACACGCACACACACACACACACACACATATATATATATATATTGTCTATGCTGTTCAGTGACGACTATACAGTGACAGCTGTAATGTTCTTCAACATCATTATAATATACAGATACACACGCTGCGAGTACGTCTCCGATCTCTCGATATTTGATTTGAGCAGTAATTTGCCAAGGTTACACTGACCAAGCGGTAAGACCGTACATAAACATACGTAAAATATATATATATATATATATATATATGGAGTAATACCACCGAATGACCTGCTGAGTTGGACAGGCAACGCACACACAGGTATGTACACTGTTGAGCATCGATACATGAAGGGTCTGACTGTGAACTGGTATAACATTCACCACCTACTTTGATATACGATGCAAACAGCAGTCAGGAAAGTCACAAAATAGCCATTCCGATACATCGCTTTCCGATGTAGGGTTTAGGGTTTATAATCAGTAGCGCCATACCTGCAAATGTGGTGCCATTGTGGGGGTTGAAGCCTACATCGCGCACGCTCTCGGCTCGTCCTTCAAAGGAATGTATGTGATTATTCTTGGTTCTCAGATCCCACAGTTTCATGGACCCTGTATGTGGGTACGGAAAACGAAGAATGATACACACAGTAACAACAAATCCAGTGAATAGCAGCGGTAGTAATATAGGCGTTGGAACAGAAGCTCGGAAACTGTATGTAGGTACGGAAAAAGAAGAATGATACACACAGTTACAACAAATTCAGTGAATAGCAGCGGAAATAATATAGGCGTTGGAACAGAATCTCAGAAACTGTATGTAGGTGCGGAAAAAGAAGAATGATACGCACAGTATCAACAAATTCAGTGAATAGCAGCGGTAGTAATGTAGGCGTTAGAAATGGGAACAGAATGTCCAAAACGGCGATACGTATTTGCTTGGCCGCCGAACGAGAACGCGCACTACTCTAATTTAGGAGTGGTATCATTCCGATTTTTTTTTAAAATCATCAGCAGAAGCCAGAAACAGATGTAGAGCAAACGGACATGGACTGACTTGCTCTCTAGCACGAAGACTCTTGTCCCGGAGATAGTTTGGGCGTCAACTGCACCTGTTCTTCGAGAGGCTATAGTATGACCACAGCTGTGCCATCTAGATATATATATATATATAGCACACACAACAAATCATCTCAATATAAATAGCACACACAACAAATAATCTCAATATAAATAGCACACACAACAAATCATCTCAATATAAATAGCACACAACAAATCATCTAAATATAAATAGCACACACAATAAATATTCTAAATATAAAGAGAACACACAGCAAATCATCTCAATATAAATAGCACACACAACAAACCAGAACGACCCAAATACGCAAAACGTTGCAATTCCAGCCCACGGCAAAGCAGCACCACAAACCACCGAGCGCACAGTTACGCTGAACCCATTAAATCCCAGTGAAAGCCACTTCTACGCAATATCCCCAGTACATATAGATAGATATGCCACACGTACACAATACGTATACGTATCAGGTCTCCTTCATTGCTTACCGTCCTGTGATCCGCTCAGCAGCGTGTGACACACAGACACAATACGTATACGTATCAGGTCTCCTTCATTGCTTACCGTCCTGTGATCCGCTCAGCAGCATGTGATGTTCCAACGCATTGAACCGCACACGATGCACTGACCTCCCGTGCTCTTTGATTATCCGGGCTGCAAGTAAACGATGAACGAGCAAACGGTGCAAATTGAGACCTTTGCGCGTACTACGTAGTTCCGAGTCCTTGTCAACGTTCAAGTTATGAGTATATACGCCGTTTGCTATGTACGAGTATACATATGCAAGTTCGTTAACATGATAGTAGCACAGAATGGGGCATTACGATGACTAAGGTGTACGACAAACCGGTGCCATTAGAATTTGCACTCCAGCGGAGCATGAAGGCTATCATGACCAATGGAAATGGCTCTTACCCGTTTTCTTGACATCTGCCAAATTGAGATCCCAAAGCACTATGGCGCCGTTGCTTGCCGCAGTAGCTATCCAATTGCCACATGCTACAGAATGAGGATGAATTAAAAATTCAGAACCAACCACATAAGGCTTAACAGACAAGTGCGCTAGAAGGTCGCAAATTTTCATCCCGATTTAGACACGAAGATATACTAGCCCATCCCCTAGCTGTTGGGTTCATAATTGATGCGTGCATACGACGCACCATACTTCCGAGTGAAATGGCAGTTTTGTATGCACTACACCACAATACACACCATACGTAGAGGTGAAATGTTGAATTTAAATTTCGTATACCACAAACCCATTTCAAAACTTTGTATTCTGTAAACCCATCCTTACATGAACAAGCGCGTAGATTCTGGCTATACTCTACTTTACCAGGGAGATGTATTGTTTGTAATACACACTGTCGTATATGAGCGGTCAATACCTTATGTCTATGTCTAACCCTTCATATATATAGCCCAGTCATACAAACGTGTGTAGCTCAGCCAAGCAAACGCACGCACACAGACATGCATGGCACGCACAACCGAGTACTCAGAATCTGGGGTTCCTCAATTTCAGGCATAGACAATGGTTTACCATGCAATATGGGTATTGCTTTGAGCTGTCCTTGGCAGTTGCAAATATTCTAACCAAATAGTGAAGCACATTTGACTGTAACTGCAATAAACATGCACTTACTAGAATGCATTAGTAGCTATAAGCGGTATCTAGTATGTACACGGAGATATAGACTCAAACTATGTATGAGTGTATAGTATGTCATTACGTATAAGGCATATGTAAACATACAGGGATGGAGAAACTATGTATGAGAGTATAGTATGTCATTACGTATAAAGTATATATGAACATACAGGGATGGGGAACCTATGTATGAGAGTATAGTATGTCATTACGTATAAAGTATATATGAACATACAAGGATGGGGATGCCAATCCACGTCGTAACTGCTGTAGTTGAGATGCTTGCGCATCACACGCAGATTCTGTGACGGGTGGCACTCGTCTCTGGACAGGTCGATGATCTGCAACACTGTGGTGCGCAATACGAAGGTTAGATAAGTGTATACAGACAGACATGTCTATGCTGCAATAGGAAAGGTTAGAGGAGTGTTTACAGACAGACATGTCCATGCTGTGTTTCGGAAGTCTTGTCATCAACAGCTGTGTGACAAACCTAAGCCAAACCCAACACTGTACTTTTTGCTGTTTTGTTTTTGGATTTCCCCTTTTGATACTATACAGCGTTGCTGGAAGACGTGGCATGCTTCATTAAAAGGGTGCGGGGTTAATGGAAACCAGTCTGTTCACATAAAAGGTCTGAGTGCATCACCATAAACCACAACAATACTTATAGACTGACCCACGCCTCTAAGCCAGATGATCAATTTCCTATGCAGTGAACCAGGACTAGCTTGTGGTGTATCCGACATGTAGACATACACCCTCGCACTCGCGAATGAGAGCTCATGCCGTGATGGGGCTCGGTCTGTCACCAAAAAATGCTCACAGTCTCATTTCAATGTGCAACGTGTATCTAACGGAATTCGTACTCGGTACAAGGAAGAACCACTACTTAGTTGTCCACACTACGCACACAAAGTTATACATATACAAGGCTATACATATACAAGGATAATCAAGCAAGATCCCACTCGACTCAGAGAACATAACTATCTCAGGGGATATCGCACAATCCGAGACCACTACTACGTACTATCACTACCGCCGACGTACAACCCGTCATAGATAGGTCACACTGTGGATACAATCACAAGCACTAACAAGGCAAACACAGCAGAACAACACGCCAAAGCGTGCGACGGCAGCGTAGATACAACTCAGATAGATACATTAGCATGGTGTCAACACTACGCATCCTCAATACGTATAAAGGTACCGTCTAGACATACACACAGACCTCGAATGGCATTACAATATACGACACCGACCGAAATATATATACATAAATATAATATAAATATAAATATATATATATATATATATATACATATACATATATACCTATTTATATATATATACATACATACATACATACATACACACACACACACACACACACACACACACACACATATATATATATATATATATATAAATATATATATAGGGTCCATATGGACACACAAGCCACCATTGTTCTATATTCGTTAGCAATCCTACCCACATTCTGCATCGTAAAATACCACCACATACCACCACGGACCCCACCCAATACCATCATTGCACACTTCTTTATTCCGTAAACGCATACAGCAACTAATCCTTACAAGAGCACATAGAAACTCTCATGGGCACACAGCTTCACGTACCATCACGGCCTGCAACTACCAACTGATTCCCACTGGGAGACTGGGACAGGGCATTCAAGGGACCATTGACCATACAGCCAAACTCCTCAGCATTTCTGCGTGAACGCACGAGTGAGGTGTGTACAGCAGGTATAGTCAGGCAGCGCATGCTACAACAGAATGTATACACGCATACGCATACCAGTTGTATTGGAATAAAGACAATGGTAGTATGAGGAAAGGGCAACTATCGCCCCGCACCGACACACTGACTTACATGTTATTTGAATTGCCCGTGTCGAAGTGGGAGGATTAGTATAGGGGCATTGTACGTACGCTCGATTTTATGCTGAAGCATATGCGAATCAATTGATCGGGACAGATGGCCAAGTACATGCATATAAGCGCACTGTGATAAAGTCTATACTCTCATATATTCATCTTATGTTCAAATGAAGACCTGGAACAAGTCAGAAGTATATTCCTCATGAAATGTAAAGCTCACCCTCACACAGAAACGAGATCAAACAAAGGTTGGGACCACTTAGAAATATACTGATGGGTATCTCTAAGCTTTAAGATTCAAGCCCAGCGCTTGTGTATATACTAACCAAGACGTATATAACTTGTATATGTCCGAGCTAGCCCAGAAAATATCATTTACTATATTTGTATGCCTGACAAATTGCACTTTCAGTGTATAGGTATTTGTGATATACTGCCCTCTCATAAGTATATAGGTATGTCTGATACATTACTCTCTTATATGTGTATAGCTATGTGTGACATGTTGCCCGTATATAGGTGACGATCACTCATAAAAAGCATCTATTCTACATGGCAATCTATATGTTTCACTATAGGTAGAAATCTGCCAACACCGTGTCAACCGATATACAGTCATAGAGATCACATTGGTACAGGCATTCCTATTGCTTTGGAGCCTGTGGTTTAGTACTGACCAACGTACCGGACTATTCATACACGAGTTGCAGGAAAAATACATAATAGCTTCCAGTAAAGTGCTATGAAACGAAGCTTTACCGCAGTATTTATGACAAAGTGTAGCTAATTGAAACACAATGAAGCAAAAGTATCAAGGGTGTCAATATATAGGTCGATGACTTCTAGTAGAGTAAAGAGCCACACACATGAAACCAAAATACAGGTATTAGTTTACACCGCTTCCTGTCAATCTCAAGAACGCGATTACATATGCGAATATACTGCACAGCCACGATGGGGTGTACCACATGCAAAGACATTTTGTTTTACACTTGTAAGTGTGCATACGCCCACCTGATTGTCTGCAGCTGTATGAATACGCAGTCATAGATAAGATAACTAAGCACTGTTGTACCGCCTACTAAAAAAGTTTGTACTCTATACATCCAATTCGAGCTGCGAATCAGCTGCGTAAGCTCAAATACACGAACCTGTCCCAATTCCTCGGCTTCTCTGGTGTGACATAGGTCGGATCCTTGAACACCCCCACCTCATCTCGTTTCATACTTTGACTCATTGTTAAACAGTTCGCTGTCTATGCCACTGTTTGTTCCAACCCTTCGATGGACTTTATGAGGCAGTTACAGACATCAGACATGTTCCTTATTCAGAGCGCTGCCGTATTCAAAGTGAACGTTGTACTTACACGGTGTGTCCAGATTGTTCATTTGCTGTTAAGACCTTTAATTAATTATGTTGTACATAGTGCTCAATTAGAGTAGATCGCCTACTATAAGCAATATGGTCCTGTGCCTGTCTCTACTTTCAGAGAGGGCATTTATTATGTGCTGACGCTGACAGCCCTCACAAAGAAACCAAAAAAGCTTTTGTGCAGCGGCACATTGTACCAGAGGGTGTCACCACTTTTGGCAAAAGATGGGCATGAGTGATGCGTCGATATAAATATCAAATGTTTTTACCACCGAGGAAGAGAGAAGTAAATGTTTTTAAATAGTCTGCTTGAGCAATGCTTTGTACCAACTTCTGCTACATATTCAACACCTGACTGTAGTAGTGTAGGGCTACCGATTATGCACATCTCTTGAAATAAGCTCTTCGATTGAGCCTATTTGGAGTATTAAATTGCTCTAACAAACATATCGTTTACAAATGACTACCGTGTGTGATATTTTATGTATATGTACATGGTTACCGACGTCCACCAAGGCGGACTGTCACTTTTGGTTTGCTACAAAAGACCATGTGGTTGATTTGTTTGTTTTACATACTTTAAGACGGACTAATGTCCCGGGCGGATAGTTCTCTCATGTATAGTCTTCGGATTGGTGTGGACCATGTGGTTGATTTATTTGTTTTACATGTTGGCAATATACATACGACGAATTTGGACACTATGCGCTACATCAGCACATTCTTCCTGCGGTGATTGCGACATCACTTCACTTAGCGCCTCCTGTCTTCGCGCATGTGAATGTGTCTGCTCTGAGTTATACTGCGTCAGCCTCGCTATGATTTGTTACAGATGAGGACGCTGACGTTAATGATACTGACGTTAATGGTCCAGATGTCGATGACTATTGAGTGAGTAGAGATATAGCGACGGTATCAGTCAGATATCTAGTGATCTCTGATATGGAATAAGAACTGAAGTACCCTCTGTTCAATATAACACCACTGTTGTGAACACAATGATAGCAGCATATATATGTTCTACCTTCGTCACTACAGTAGCCAAATATCTGGCGGTGGTTGTCAGCCGAGTAACAAGTAGAAGCCGGAAGTTAATATAGGAAAATCACCGCTTTGGTGAGAATACAACACTTCTTAAAAAAGCATGACAGGTCGCAAAAGTTCGGATGATCGGTTCTTCCAGTATACAACTAACATTAACATGAGCTCTCGTAAATACTGGGTCATACGGTATCAATGTAGGTCTCATTCATCCTGTTCTCAGTTTGGACGAGTGAAAGAACACCATCGATTTTACCAAATACTCTCAGAAATTGCCGGTGGGATTTTCGACAATAAATACCGCCGTTAGCTCGTCTGTACCGATCAAGCACTCCAAACACCAATTGTTTGAAAGTGATGCCGATTTCTTTCACGGTGTACTAATAACACAGCTGCTTGTTTATATATATATATATATATACATATACATACATATATATATATATAATTATATATGACTTTATATTTATATATATATATTGCCACACAAGCAGCTGCAATAAACTTCAGAAGTCGCGCGTCTTGCTAGTCATTAAAGATTCGTGGTTCTACAAGTAGACGCCTCGTAATCCCAACTATAACATAAAAATATCGTAAGATTAAGTGACACTCAACCAAGCATGGTGCCGGGAATACCCAATATATATATATATATATATATATATATATATATATATATATATATATATATATAGTTTATATATATATATATATATATATATATATATATATACTCATATACATCCTTATATCCATATATCCATATATATATATATATATATATATATATATAATATGTATTCATACAATATGATTACTCTTGCAACTAATCTCTACTTGCTCGACTTGCTACCATTCAGTTGACCTTTCGTGTGTACCGTGTTATTAAAGGACGAGTGTTGATGCGCGGTTGATACCACCACCTGCGCTGTAGACTTCAAGATCGGACTTGACGTCGCTAGGTCCGTCATTATCTATGAGATACAGGCATAACGCATGGATCCCTATGCGACAGTTTTTGTAGCCATGCTGAGATCGTACGAGTTCTTTCCAAAATTCCAGGTGGTGTGTAATACACGCATATATCTTATAGTATATATATGAGAGATAACAATAAATACTTTGTTAAAAAAATACTTGTCCTTCGGCTTCGGACAATAGTCCGATCAGGCCTATTATGTATTTTATTTCTTCTCTCACTCTACTACTAGAGAGAGAGAGAGAGTAGAGAAACAGGCCACGCCACAGGCCACAGGGTCGTGTCAATAGAATACTCTAAAAAATATCTGTACAATTGTAAATACATAGCGTTCTACTAAATTGAAACACTCTAAATTAATGCATTTTTGGGGCTGATATTATGCTATTTTTATTTATTTTAAAAAGATGCCAATAGGATTTGTCGTTCACAAATGTGTCAAATGAGTGAGAAGGGTTATGCCATTTAAAAGCCCCACTTTTTCTTCTCTTTGCCTCAATCATATATATCAAAATAGCTCGCTAACGCTCGTTCCTGGGCCCTGGGCTGAGAATTTTTCTGTGTCGCTAAAAAAAACTTCATACTGTACAGCCAAAAAAACTATAAGGAAAACTATAAAGCGATAATTATGCTCCTCGCTCGATACAAATAATTTAAAAAAATAGTCAGTGAGTATATTTCACTCTAGCGTAAAGTAAGTCAGGACTCTCAACCAGTAAAAGATCGAGAAGTATTCAATTTGTTTTTATGAATCTATGGATGACACATTTTCTTCTATTTCCCCCCTGGCTTTCATTTTGTTTTTTTTTCGGTTAAAAAAAAGAGCAAAAAGCGGTGTAAAATAGTCCCTGTAACTCTGTGGACTGTGAGAAGTTGAGGAGTCTGAGGAGTCTGAGGACAGTGGAGCCTAGGTTTTTTATATGATTTAATTTTGGTTTATATATAATTATTTTACAAAACCAGAACACGACTATTTTTGTCACGTGTGGTGAATTGGTCATTGGCATCGATAGCCAAAATACTAATACATAGCGATCCGTATCCGATTGCCAAAAAAAAGGTCATAGCCCATGTACTCCATATTCCTCTGGTTGGCCTACTGTATCAGTTATTCCTAATTTGAAATAGGGTGAAACAGTATAGTATGTTTTCGAAAAATGTTCCTAAAAATTCGTCGAAAACTCTAGTCATCAAGATTTGTCTCGGACTCTCAGCCCAATTTGTACCAGTATTTATTTCCTTATGAACATCGAAATTAAATTCATCAGAAACAGTAGTCAAGACTACACGTATGCTTGTGGGTGTATGTAAAAATTTAGTGAGCGCGTGTGGGTGTATGTAAATATTTAGTGAGCGCGTGTGAGGGAGCGAGTGATTGTGTGTGATAGTATGCGTGAATGGGTATGTTTATTTGTGAGCGTGTGTGACTAAACAACAGTGCGTATTTGTGTGTGTGTGTTGAGTGAATGTGAGAGGGTGGGCCCCTCAAGAACTTACCTACTGTAATTTCAGAAAATATAACCTTAAATTATATTTATGATTCTGTCTGGACGGGTGTACACGCGAGAGAGAGTGTGGGTGAGTGAGTGAGTAAGAATGAATGCGTAAGTGAGTGAACGTCTGTGTGGAGTGTGTGTGAATGTGTGTGGGTGTATGGGCGTGTCTACTGAGAGTTTGTATATGAAGAGTGTGTATGTGTGAGTAAACATGAGAGTGTTTATGGATGTGTCAACGTGGGTGGTTGTGGGTGCATGGGTGTGTCTTATGAGAGTTTGTGTGCGAGGAGTGTGTGTGTGTTTGAGGAGTGAGTGAGTGAGTGATGTGCGAGTTAGAGAGTGTGTGTAATTGTGCGTGTGCCAGATTGTGTGTGAATGTGTACGTATGTATGTGTGTATATGAGTTAGTGAGCGTGCGCGCGTGTGTGTGTGTGTGCGTGTGCGTGTGCGTGTGCGTGTATGAGTATATATATGTGTGTGTATGTGTATGTATATATATATATATATATATATATATATGTGAGTGTGTGTGCGTGTGTGTGCTCTCTGGTGATACGGTGATACGGTGTGTATTTACCGTCTGTGCTGTGAATATGAACAAATAGATTACCCCTATGACCAAGCTTTCAGTCCCCGGGCATCCCAACCGTAATTTGTTTTAAAAAAACTATAAAAAATAGTTGTTCTATTTTTATACATTATAAAAAAAAAATGACATTTTCATTTATTTTAGTTAAAAAACATTCCACATTTCGTAGTATTTTGTACATAAATGATTTGACTTTTGAGAGTAGTAGAGTTGAATGCTAGATTGAGTAGAGAGAGTACATACTAAATACATACAATAGAGTAAATATTGACAGTATTTGACAGGGCGACAAGTGACAAGTGACAACTGACACAAGCTCATCAAAAATTAAATATTTATAGACCATTAGTCCCTCACTCACTCGAGTGACGAGATTCACGAGCGGTCAGAATGTGAGTGTGAGGCTCAGAGGCTGTGACTCATTATGTGAACTATAGTCAGCTGTCTCAGCACTATGTAGTATGTACATACCCGGCACTCGGCAGTGGAGTGAGTGGACTGTGGTACATGCTCGGTACAGGTATTCAGCCCACAGTCCACAACTCCATAGTCCACGCTCACAACTTCTACAACACTAAGGATTCAGGATTCAGGATTCAGGAGTTCAGGATATGTATTATTTAAAAAAATATGAGCGAGTATTATAAATACGATAAACACTGTAAAGAAATGATAAAAAGAGAACTCACAGCCCACAGGACACTAATAACTGAGGAGTGAGCAAGAAGTGAAGTCAGTAGAGTAGTAGTGGACCGGGAGTCAGACCGGGACAGACACCGACTGACACAGTCAATCAGTCACACACAGAGCCTCAGAGGTCACAGACGACACAGAGTCACAAACTCACAGTCTCTACAGTGGCTGAGTGGCACAGCCGCAGTGCTCCATAGGCTTTCACACTCACAGTCTCACACAGGCTCATAGAGTCACAGGACTCATTGAGGACACAGGCTCACAGGCTCACTGCTGCTCACAGAACCTCACACAGTCAAGTTGTCAACCGTGTCACACTTCACAAGTTCACAGTCTCACGCACTCTCATTGTACATACCCAGGAGTCCAGCCACGCTCCCACGGTACAGGATTACAGGCCCACAGGCTACAGCCCCACAGCCAAGAGGCCACAGCTCAACACAACATCGGTGCGGGCCCTGCAGGGGTCTGCGGTCGCTGGCTAAACAGAAATAATAGATAAATGCCATTGGAGAAATACTTCTTTGTCAACAACTCAATATCACAACACGAGGTTTTTTTAAATAAATTTAACAGGACAATGCTGACCTGGACTGGGACAATGGACATCTGGTCAGCTGACAGGGATCCCGTTGTGCTCTGTACTTCTGGTGTCCCAATAGAAACAATCTGCCATTGCTTAAATAAAGAGGGAGTTAAATATTATTGGTTGGATTTGGGAATTGGGATATTTGTACACAGTGTAAAGAGGGTACAATGTGACTAGTGATTATATATATTTTTTAAATTTGTATTTAACTGCTCGGCTTTCACGTGCGAATACAATGGATGCATTTTTGGGTGTTTTTAGTCTCAAAGACACTTTTTGTGTTTTATATTATTTATAAAAAAATTATAAAAATGCCATTTGTGTACATATTGCGTGAATAAATTGTTGTAGAAGCATGTATAAATAGTCAGCCACAGGCATTAAATCCCTTTCAGCAGAAGTATTTAGTCAATTCGTCTTTTAATTGACAGTCATACCTGACAATGTCGTCAAATATAGTGAACTCTACAATCTTCCACGTTGATGGCTTGTGCTGTGGCGGAGAGGCCACACTAATACGTGAAACACTAGAGCCCCTTGAGGGTGTTGTGAGCGTCAAAGTCTCCGTAGTAGATAGACGGGCAAAGGTTGAGCACACAAGGGCAGTCGACGTAGAAACAATCCTGAAACTGCTCAATGACGAGTATATGGGTGCGCGCATAGAACAGAACGGTGATGTTGTATCAGATTCCGAAGGTCAGAGGTCCCATTTATGTGGTCTGAGTTATGCCAGTTTCGCGAGAATATGTCTACCGATCCTGCAAACGTCACTGTTCACGGTTGCCTGTATTATGTGCTGGTTAGGGTATATGCATACTGCCTTTATCTGTAGCATCGTATGTATAGTCCTATCTGGATCCTTACTATACAAGGCTGCTCTATCTATTTTGCGTCGATTGCCCAACGCTGAGCTTTTGATGGCCATAGCGGTGGTCGGTAGTCTATGTCTCGGAAACTGGCTAGAAGCCGCTTCAGTGGGTACTATAGTAGCTGTACTGGACGCAATTGTTTTATATACACATGAGCGAGTCGATAGAAGATTAAACAACAGTATTGTTGTGAAACCACCAACAGTGGACGTACCCGAGGGAGGTTCTCAATTAGTCTCACAGTTGGTACCGGGCAGCGTGTATGTAGCACGTGCTGGGGACGCACTACCGACCGACGGCGAAGTTAAGCAGGGATCGGCAAATGTGGATGAAAGTAGTATCACTGGTGAAGCTATGCCTCAGCCCAAAGCTGTAGGAGATACGGTACTGAGCGGTTCTGTGTTGACAAGTGGATTCTTGCAGGTGGTAGCGACTAAGCCGGCGAACGAGTCCTTCGTCTCCAGAATTGAAGATGCGGTGTTGGATGCGAAAAGTATGTCTTGTTTGCAATTGAATGGGCAACCTGTATGCATATATAAATGTAGCATGAGAGTATCTTATATTATTTTGATCATGTGGTAAAATCTATCAGTACGTAAGCCTACAAGTTTGCGTTACTTAAAATGTGCACGATTATACAACGTTTGATAA